GGCTGTGCAAATAAGCGAAGTCCCATCTGCGGGATGCAGGCAGCGCACGGAACCACTCCTCCAGTCCGGTGAAAAAACTCACTGCACAGAACCGGTCCCTGGTGCCCAAAAGGTTGGGCGCCGCTGGACTAGAACAGGGGTCTCCAACCTTGGCAACTTTACGACATGTGGACTTCAACTCCCAGAATTCCTCAGCCAGGTTGGAGACCCCCCGGACTAGACGACCTTCAAGGTCCCTTCCAAACTCTTGTTATTCAGATTCGGCTAATGCCACGTTCCTCTTTGTGATGCCTAGACTCTGCTAACAGCAGGTAATCCTGCAGTTATGAATTGCCAATAGGATGGAGGTTACCTGCGAACTCAAAAAAAAAAACAACAAAAAAAACAAAAACAAAAAAAACCACCTGATAACTTGTTTTACGTGGTTATAGATTTACTGAATGAGGAGGGGGGGGAGGGACTACTCTACACACAGGTCACCATTTGCAAAACCAGGATTGCCACCAGCAACCCAGGCGAGGTTGTTGCAAGGATGACACACAGCCCTCTCGGTTTAAAGGTAAAGGTTCCCCTCGCACATATGTGCTAGTGGTTCCCGACTCTAGGGGGCGGTGCTCATCTCCGTTTCAAAGCCGAAGAGCCAGCGCTGTCCGAAGATGTCTCCGTGGTCATGTGGCCGGCATGACTCAACGTCGAAGGTGCACGGAACGTTGTTCCCTTCCCACCAAAGGTGGTCCCTATTTTTCTACTTGCATTTTTTAACGTGCTTTCAAACTGCTAGGCTGGCAGAAGCTGGGACAAGGAACGGGAGCTCACCCCGTTAGGCGGCGCTAGGGATTCGAACCGCTGAACTGCTGACCTTGTGATCGACAAGCTCAGCGCCTTAGCCACCGCATCTTAGTTTAACTCTCCCCAATTCTTGCCTTCCTGGAAGGACCGTCAGGTCGAGAGACTCTATTGTGCGTTGCTGACCCGTAAACCTGCAAAATATTCCCTGATCAGCTGGGCTGTGAAAACATTTGGGTGGAGGCCTCTCCTTGGTGCTTGTTCTTTTTTTGGCATTTTAAAGGAAAAAGTGGGGGGGGGGCGGGATTGTTACAGCATTCAAAACACTTCAAGCTTGCAATGTTTACAGCCACATCTGCACAGCCGCAGCTCCTCTGCTCACCTCACCCAGGTGCAGCCACTGCCGAGACGGAAACCTAGAGTCTAGGGCTGTTCCCTACACGAACCCTGTTGGCGATGAAACACCGTTTACATTTGGCCTGCTCGGAAACCGATTGCGTAGCTGATGTTCTCTGGCTTGTTTGCAGCTGATGCTTTGCTTCCCGTCATCAGCTCACCAGGGCCTTGCGATTTCACAACTGCCCTGCTGCTGAATTGCATCTCGGCTGGCTGTCGTGGGTTTTTTTATATATATATATATATATTTAATTGGGCATTTTTAGGACATTTCCACACCCCAAATTATCGGGAAAAATCAATTCTCATGCGCTCCACCTTTTGCACCAGGGAAAAGCTTTGAAAAGACATTCCTCCTCTTTTGTTGCTTGTCTTGTGGCGGCCATGCGCACCGTAAGGAAAAGTTGTTATTTGGGTGGGAGTGTTTTACTGGCATACTTTTTTTGTTTTGTTTGACCACCGAAAAGCCCAGGATTTGCACTACTGCTGCCACCAAACCTGTTGGGAGAAATGAAAACGAGAGCGTTTTTTTTTTCCCCAAGTAACTTCCTGCACAAATAATGAAGTGAAAATACAGCATTTAGAATCAACACAGAAGTGGCTGAACATTGTATGTTATTTCTTCCCTTTTCTCCATTCTATTTCCTTCATCGGACCCCTCACTCACCCACCCTCCATCATAATCTTCAACGAGCATAAAATGACTTACCTCCACTTACATTTGCAGGAGAAAATGGCCTACATAAACTCAGAGACAAACCACAAAAGTGATTCCAAATCTACTTACGAGATTCAAGATAAAATTTGTTCTTCAGACACTGGGCAGCAGAGAAATGATCCATTGTTGGGGTTTCTGGAGAAATGGCAAAGGAACACCAGCTAGTAGAGAAACGTGCATTGTGCAAAAGCTTAAGTCGGCCAGTAATCAGCATGTAAATGCCAAGTTGCTGGGCTTGTATAAATGCTGGTCTCAGCTCTTTACATCTGCAGTTTCTCTACAAGCCACACACCCAGAATGCTGTTTACCATCCGTATCTCCAAGCCGACACTTATTAGTTCAGCGTTATTAATCCTAAAGAAACTTAGAAGGGACCTTGGAGGTCTTCTAGTCCTACTCAGGCAGGAAACCCTGTGCCATTTCAGACAAATGGTTGTCCAATCTCTTCTTAAAAAAACTTCCAGCATTGGTGCATTCACTTCTGGAGGCAAGTTGTTCCACTGGTTATTGTGGAACAAATAATTAACTTGATCGTGTTAAACCTTCAAGCCGAACACCAGGTAGCTTCACAGATACTTCCAAAGAGTTTTCTTAGCTACATCTTTCCCAAGCCAGCTCAGATTTCTTGGCAGCCTCCCGTCCAAAGGTTAACCTTGTTTTCTTGAAATTGGCTACCTTTGCCTGTTATTGTAGTTGTGGTCAAAGGTTACTTTCATTAAATGGACTTCACGGCCTTTGGCGAAGGGCCTGTTTTAATTATTTGCGGCATGACTATCAGATTGAGCGGCAAGGATGAGCAGGCGGAAAATGATTTGGCAAGTCGGGGCAGTTAACTTCAAATGCAAGCCTTCATTAGAGGGGCACTGAATGAAGTGTCTTATGTTCTTTAAACATAGCTCACGCTAATCTAGTGAGAGAAACAAACCAGATTTTCCAAGCCTGACGTAAGCTTCCCATTCATATTATGGTGTAGCGCAAATGCACTTTTGTGTAAGTTTCCACATTACAACATAAACACAGGAGCCACAGTGGCAGTGGTTAATATTGCAGATTCTGCTCACTGCCATCAGTTCGATCCTGACTGGCTTGTGTATTCCATCCTTCTGAGTCCAGTAAAATGAGGACCTAGATTGTTGGGGGAAAGATGCTAACTCTGTAAACTGCTTAGAGGGGGCCGTAAAGCACTGTGAAGTGCTATTGCTATATATAAAGAATATAAGCAGTCCCTCACTTATTTTAGCGACCATTTCATGACGACAGTCATGAAAAGAAAGTGCTTTAGAGTTGGTTCTTGCATTTATGACATCATCCCTATGGCCACGTGAATGCAACTTGGGCAGTTGGTAGCGAGCATCCTGGGGCCATGCGAGCTGCACTTGCGAACTTCTCAGCAGACTTCCGATAAAACAAAATCCATTGACCTTCGGGCAGTCTCTCTCTTCTCAGCCCAACTTACCTCACAGGGCTGTTGTTGTTGTGGAGAAAATAGGGAGTATTCCTCATAAGACTTTATTTGTAAAAAAAATAATAAAGCCAGGACACAAAGTAAATTAAATGTTTCCGGTGACAAAACGAGTAAAGCTGCACGGATTAAGTCATGCTGCAATTAAGGGAAGTTAGTTAAGAAATCCAGCCTCTCGGCATAGTTTGGTGACACCGAACGTGGCCAATATATAAATGACCAGTTCTTGGGTCAATTCCAAATTTTGAACACAGGTGAGATGATTTTGGAAAAAAGCTCACATTACAGATGTGCAAGTGGACCGTATGCTGGTTTGCCTCAAACAGCATCTGGCTCTTAAAACACTTACACACAACCCATGTATTAAAAATGGACTGTTGTGTGTTATATATATATATGTATGTATGTAGACAGATGTCCATGATAGCAAACCTATGGCACACGTGCCCAAAGTGGCACATGGAGCCATATCACCTGGCATGCATGGCGTCACCAATTCCTCTTCTGGGTTTCTGGCGGACATGGGCACATGACAATCAGCTGGACTTTGTGCATATGGCAGTGCCAAAAAGTGGAAGAGTTGGTCTTCCATTTTCTGGCATGAGCATGCATGCCAGCCAGCTGATTTGGCACTTGTATATGCGTGGCAGTAACCGGAAGACTTGCTTGCTGGCGTTCACGCACGTGCCGGAACCCCGGAAGTACCTTATCTGGTGCGTGCATGCCCCGAGCAGCACCTTTTCCTGGTCGTGGCTCTGATGAGCGCACGTGTGCACAAAATGCTCCCTTTAAGGTACTCTGTGCCGAAAAGATTCTCCATCACTGGTATATGTATATGTATGTGCATGGTAAGTGTACGGCTATGTATTCCTTTTGAGTGTGGGAATCAGAATTTCATTTTTTATGTGTGCCGGTGTGTTCACGGATTAAAGTGCTAAGGTTATCTTATCTCAGTGGGTGCTTGGTGTCCAAATAAAATCTGGTTTAACTTCCACATCACTGCACATCAGGGAACGTTTGTATGCGTTGATCGGAGACGGTTGTATGGCAGTTGCATTTATACGTCTGCGAATGTGTAATGTTCTCGCCAGGGGGCGCTTAAACAGCAACACACAGAACAGGAAGTTGGAGCATCTCCGCGCAACATCCAGTTGGGATTCGGGAGGCGGGTACACACATTGGCCCCTCTGCAAACCTAGACTTACCCATCCATCCATCCCTTGGCACCGCAGGCATGTAATGATGGCTATGCAGTTGCAGGAAAGTCTAAATAAAGCTTAACGTGTAATGAACGCAATAGCCCGTTGGTGACCCAGTGGTTAGAATGCGGTACTGCAGGCTAACTCACTGCTCACTGTCAGGAGGTCGATCCTGACCGGCTCAAGGTTGACTCAACCTTCCATCCTTCTGTGGTTGGTAAAATGAGGATGCAGATTGTTGGGAGGGGCGCTATGCTGACTCTGCAAACTGCTTAAGAGAGGTCTGTGAAGCGGTATATAAGTCTTAAGTGCTGTTGCCATTTGGGGGAATCACAGCTTTATCTATCACCGCAGACAACAAATTGATTGCCCTCCTTCTTCACGGAAGCAGATCCAATCGTCGCTTTGCTTTTTCAAATACTTACCATTCTCACCTAGGAAGGGTATGGCGAAGGCGAGATTTAATTAGCAGAGAAACACAATGTTCTTTTCGCCCGGAGAGGAACATGATAATCCAGTCAGACACCTAAGTCCTAAATAAATCTTTGTGGTTTTTTTGTTGGTCAAGAGCCAACGAAGCCTGACACTATCTAGAAAAGCACGTGGAATAAACATACACCCACGTACTGTCTGTAGAAAGGAGAGGTCCAAAAATACGATTTGCTCCCTCTGATCATGCTAATTTACACCGTGGTCTCAAATCTACTTGGATCCAAGGTTGAGAAGCGTAAATTTCACCCCTTCCGGATTCATCGTTCAGGAACGGTAAGATTAATCCCAGCTGGAACAAACTACCCGGAGAGAAGGTGCTACAGAAGTCGCGTTTCACATCCGTTGCTCTCCTAGCTCCTGAAAGAGAATGCAAATCTGAAGATTTAGTAGGGTGCGTTTACACTCGTGTCTTATTCCTGAAGATTTGTACGGAGGTTTCCCCTCTAAAACGTTCCAAATCCTATTCTCCCCTTTCCTGCCCCCAATACTTCAAAACCATCCAGGTGCTACATAGTTTGTGACTAGCAATTCTGGTTACTTTTGCAAGCTTGCTTTTGGGGCAAAAAGGGTTAATGGAAGCAATTTTGGTGGCTCAGTGGTTAGAGTGCAATCATCATCATCTTCATTTAATGACCCTATACTCTGTTTCCCTGAAAATAAGACATCCCCTGATAGTAAGCCCATTCAGGCTTTTGCGCGCATGTGCTAAAATAAGCCTCCCCAAAAATAAGCCCTTCCCAAAAATATTTAAACACATGCACAGCCGGTCCCTGCCATTTCCCCTGGTTAGATGGAGGGCAAGAGGAGCCCCAAAATAATAAGACCTCCCCAAAAATAAGGCCAAGCGCTATTTTGAGATTAAAAAAAATATAAAACGGTCTTATTTTCAGGGAAACACGGTAATCCCTTGCAATGGGGTGGAATCTGGGCAACTGAATGGAGCTAGCAGAGTATTTACTGGCCGGATGCCCTCCCTATTGCCAATGTGGAGTTCTGTTCGGCAGATATATTCTCAGTGTGCCCAGAGAGAGAAACATCTGCCTCTACCTAGCATAGAACTCACAGCCTTCTGATTGTGAGAAGAGAGCTCCACCTCTAGGCCACCGCACCACTCCAATGGTTAGAATGCAATACTGCAGCTTAATTCTGCCGATTGCCAGCAGTTCGATTCTGACCGGTTCAAGGTTGACTCAGCCTTCCATCCTTCCGAGGTCGGTAAAATGAGGACCCAGATTGTTGGGGATGATATGCTGACTCTCTTAAGCAGTTTAGAGGGCTGTAAAGCACTATGAAGAGGAATGTAAGTTTAAGTTCTATTGCTAATCAAAAAAATGTTTATGGGATAACCTGTGTTTCTCCACCTGAGCAACTTTTAAGATACATGGACTTCAACTCCCAGAATTCATGGCTGGCTGGGGAATCCTGGGAGTTGAAGTCCACACATTAAAATTTGCTGAGGTGGAGAAACACTGGTATAAAACATGGGTGGCACATCCCATGTTGTTTCTCTCAGTATAAATCTTACCTGTCACCTTCCCAAATTGACCTGGAAGACACAAAAAGTATTCAAGGGCCTCTGGAGGAATTTCACCTTAAGGTGGTTCATTTAAGGATCGCTCTGCTTTACACACCAAGCCAGAGGAAATCCTCCCATCTCTGCCTCACTTGAAGCCAACCCCCCCCCCCAAAATGGTTTAAATACTTGCATAAGGCGTGAAGCGGCTTTTCCTAATCTGGCATCCTTCCAGATAGACTAGAATTGCCACTCCAGAATTTGGAGCCAGTGTAGAATTGGATTACATTGTGGAAAAACGGATTAAGAAAAGTTCTTGGAAAGGTGCCAATATTTAGCCAATTTTTCAGGAGGGGGGGGAGACAGAAAGAGGCTACCGGTAGTCCTCAATTTACGACCAGAGTTGAGCCCAAAATTTCTGTCGTTGAGCGAGACATTTGTTAAGTGAGTTTTGCCTCATTTTTACGACTTTTCTTGCCACCATTGTTAAGTAAATCACTGCGGGTTATAAGTTAGTAACCCGGTTGTTAAGCGAATCGCGCTTCCCCATTGAATTTGCTTGTCGGGTGGTCACCAAAGGGGATCATGTGACCGTGGGACATAGCAACGGTCATAAATATGAACCAGTTGCCAAGCACCTGAATTTTGATCATGGGGGGGTGGGGAGGCTGCAAAGGTCGTAACTGTGAAAAACGGTCATGTCACATTTTTCAGTGCTGTTGTAACTTTGAACTGTCACTAAACGAACTGTTGTAAGTCAAGGACTACCTTTATTTTACCCAGAAGGGAGCTTTCTACATTCAGTGTCACAAAGAGGCATAGTGGATGCATTCAGAGAGCTTGGCCCCAACAACAGGAAAATGACTACAGCTGCATTGATTTTGCCTGTGATTAAGGAAGCGCTTTCAAAATATTAGGAAAAGCCACATTGGATAGAATTGATCCAGACTCCGAATAAAATTGAAGCTTGTACTTTACAATTTTAGGAATCTACAACTTTTTCCCCCCCCTTTTACCCATCAAGCACAAGAACGATCTTTGTCTTTCCCATATAACACGGAGAGTTACCTACTGTATATTTCAGACTGTAAGACTCACCTGAGTATAAGACGCACCTAAATTTAGAAGAGGGAAAACAACAACAAAATGCTTTTGGCCTCCGCGCGCCCCGTTTTCGGCCCTTTTGGGCCCATTTTTGAGGTATTTTTCGTCGCGTTTTCAAGGCTATTTTCGCCCCCTTTTTTTTTTGGAAAAAAAGCCTCAAAAATCGGCTGGAAAAAGCCTCAAAAACAGGCCAAAAAAAGCCTCAAAATGGAAAACGGACTGAAAAACGTCCCAAAAACAAGGCGTACAGAGGCCAAAAAATGGCTGGCGGTGGGAGCGGCTTCGGCAATATTCAGTCTATAAGACGCACAGACATTTTCACCCCCTTTTGGGAGACAAAAAAGTGTGTTTTATAGTCCGAAAAATACAGTATCTTGTTTAGTATAAGGATTTCAGACTAGCTTAACTACTCAAAAGAGGAAATGTAAAAAAACAAAACAAAACCCTTTAGTAATCTCCAAAATGATGAACACCCTGCAAGGGAAAATGTAAAAAAAAAAGGCAGATTAAAATTAAGTAACTTTTAGTTCAGATTTTTTTAAAAAATAGATGATGTTAAAAATATTCTAGGTTATCAAAAAGGATTTACGGTCTGAATAAAATTGCAACAAATGTGAACTACAGTTATTTTGAAGAGTTTCCACTTACCTTTCTGCGTATAAGTCCTAGTCATTTGGGACTTCTAGGTAAACGTTTAAATATTTGTTAAGTAAGTATTAAAACAGTTTGTCAATATTTAATAACCTTTCCTTGGAATAAGCTCCATTCCAGGTTTTACAAAGATGTTTGTGCAGGACTAGGAAAAAGATTATTAACAGCCTTTTTGTAATTTTATTTTTTTTTTAAATTTCCAGCCAGGGCCTCAAGATTCCAGGATCTTGGCTGGGAATCTATTTTCCTAGTCTTGCACAAATGTCTCCGTAAAACCTGGAATGGAGTTAATATTCCAAGCGAAGTTGTGTGATCTGCTTATATTCTTCTCCCGATCAAGTGACCTAACAATTCACCAAAAGCTGCAGTTGACCCCAAATACAGTTAGTCCTCGCCTTATGACCATAATAGATCCTGCCCTATCACATTCGTATATCATGATGCTCCTACCCATCCCCATTTTACCATCTTTTTTTTTTTTACGGCAGTCGTAAAGCAAACACCGTGGTCATTTAACGAACCAATGGTTTGTTACAGGCTGGTTTTTGGAAATAAATGCTGGTTTTTGGCAAAACTATCGTAAGGTGAAACAGGGTGGATTTGATTTAAATCGAGTTGATTTAAATCACAATTTAAATCATGTTTTAAATCGCTAGTAAAAAGGCTTGATTTAAATCAACTTGATTTAAATCATAATTTTTAAAGAGCAACTGTCATCTCTGCTACTCCTTTGACCCACTGTTGACTCACCGATAGTCCCAGTGTTGCAGAATATACAGCCTCATGCTACATAACTAAGCTCCATTTCATGCTGAATAAACTAAATTATTTATGTATCTTAAATAGAAAACTATCTTACGATAGATTTTTACCCCAAAAGTTTTTTATTGAAATAAATTCAATAAAAATAAAAAAAAAAATCCGATTTAAATCAAAAAAATCTGATTTTTTTGATTTTTTTTTTTAAAAAATCATTGATTTTTATCCACCCTGAGGTGAAACAAGGTCAGGTGATCAGGGAAAAAAAAAAACTTTATATGGCCATAAATGCAGGCTGATTGTATCTTTTCTTTTTATGTACACTGAGAGCGTGTGCACCAAGACAAATTCCTTGTGTGTCCAATCACACTTGGCCAATAAAAAAATTCTAATTCTAATTCTGATTGCCAAATGCCCAACATCTGTTCATATGACCGCAGGTGGGAGGTTGGCTGTCAGACTGGGTACCTCTAAGGTAGAGGTCCTCAAACTTGACAGCTTTAAGACTTGTGGACTTCAACTCCCAGAATTCTCCAGCCAGCATAGCTGGCTGGAGAATTCTGGGAATTGAAGTCCATAAGTCTTAAAGCTGTCAAGTTTGAAAACTTCTGCTCTAAGGAGATCCGTTGTAACTTTGAACTGTCACTAAGCAACAGGTCATAAATCAAGGACTACCACTATATCTCACCTAGTTCCATAATAAGATTATAATCCTGTATGCAGGTAAAAAAAAAAAAACCTTCATGAAGTTTTATAAGAATTTCATCCAGGAAACACAGATGAGTCCTTGATTTTCCATTGTCGTCTTTTGACAATTAAAAATCCATTTTTATTTTATTTTAATCCCTGCTCAATCCAGACATTTTACTAGTCTTGCTGCTTTTCTAAGCTTGGCCTTGAATAAATGCAATGCTTTTTTTGAGACATTCTCATCATAATTAATTTAAAAAGTTACTGAGGACAATTTGGGTCTTGGTCTTGCAAGCATTTCCTAAGTCTGGTTGAGATAGGGTGGCTGTATAAATTGATCAATTTATTTGTAAATTGATTATAAATTAAAATAAGTACGAAAGCAAGCCACGAAAACCTGGATGTTCTCCCAGGAGCCCATGAATGATTTTTTTTTCTTATCACAATTATGATTTAAGACTGGGTTAGATTACCCAGGTTGCAATTAATATTGTTATTGTTGAATTTTGCTGGAAGTCCTTGATTTATGACCACAAACGAGCCCAACACTTCTGTGGCTAAGTGAGACAGTGAGCTTTGTCCCATTTTGCGCGACTTCCTTGCCATATTAAGCAAAATTCCTGCAAGTTTTAACAACACCCAGACAGTTGTTAAGTGAGCTTTGCCCCATTTTACGACCTTTTATTCCACCGCGGTTAAGCGAATCACCACAGTCATTAAGTTAGCAACATGGTCGTTAAGCGAACCTGACTTCCCCATCGACTTTGCTTGCTGGAAGGTCGCAAAAAGGGGATCACCCATGACCCCGGCGACCGTCGTAAATATGAACCAGTTGCCAAGTTGTCTCGATTTTAATCATATGACAGGATGCTGCAACGGTCGTTAAGTGTGAAAAATGGTCATAAGTCCCTTTTGTCTCAGTGCCACTTACTTTGGTCACTAAACCGAGGACTACCTGCATGCTATGCTTACCATCCAGAATTGCAACTGCAAGATGGGCCATAAATAAATATTTTTTTAAATGTATTGTTTGAAAACCCTCCCCCCCCTTCAGCAAGCTCTTGATCACAACCACCCAGCGAGGTAGGCTCAGAAATAGAAAAAAAAGTTACTCAATTCCCCCCTCCCTTCCTTTTAGTAATGGCAGAGTCTAGAGAAGCGGTACCCCAGATCCCATCATCCACAGCTTCCCTTCGTTTCGAGGGAAATCTTGCGATGAGTTTAAGCAGCGCCGGGACTCGAACACGCAACCTTTCGAACTTCGAAGAGGGAACGAGCACCGCTAAACTACGGCCAACGTTCGACCAATAGCCGAGCGTGGAACTCCTTAAAAAAAACAGAACGAGGCGGAGGGAATACTCGCATCCGGGTCCTTACCGCAGGCTGCCATAGCAACGCGCCGGCCCTTCCCCAACCCCGCGCGCGCCTCTTTTTGCAAAGGGGAGGGGGTAGGACGCACAGAGAGCAGCTATTACGAAACGCGACTGGAACAGTTTTGGCCCTCGGACCCGCCGCTGGGAGGCCAACATCGTTTTTTTTTTCCCCCTTGGGGAGAAGCAGCCCGTTATTACCCCCACCCCTTTTCCTTCTTACACCGACCTACGAAGCGCGGTCTCCCGACGGCCTCTTCTCCGCTTTTTCAAGGGGCCTTCCCAACCGCGAAGCTCTTTACTACCGACATACCGCCGCCCTCCGCCACGACTCGGGCTAATATGGCCGCTACGGAGAGAGGGTTCGCCTTCTCAGGAGCCAAGAAAGCCTCTCCCTCCGTCTGCCGTCTCGGTGGTTCATTTGTGAGGCTGCGCGGCGCGGGGGCTTGACGGGCGTTGTAGTTCTGGCTGCGCTGAAGCAACGCTAATCGGGTCGCAATTGGGAACTCCCCTTCCCACAAGGCCGCGCGGCGGAGGAACGCCCGGCCCGAAAGGCAGCCAATGAAAAAACACCGCTCGCCTTCTGGCAGCCAGTTTCTCCCCCCGCCCCCTCGCGTTCCGAACCTTCAGAAGGATGATGTAATGGCCCAAGCGGGCGAAAGGGCGGAGCTCCCCCCCCTCCCTTCCTCGCGCTGCAATTCATTGTGCCGTATAAACCCAACCCGGGGATTCGCCTTCTTCCCGGCTCCTGCTGCTGCTTTGCAAGCGCGCAGGGCAGGGGACGAGCCGCTAACTCCCCCCCCCAGCGAAAGGGGGCGGGCGGGAGTGGGTGGGTTGGTGGGGAGGGAGGGGGGAAAAAAAGAAAAGAAAAGGGGGTGGCTTTTTGGGGTCCCCCCCCCAAAAAAGCGCCCCAATCTCCAATCCAGGAGTTTGCATCCTTTAAGGAAAGCTGCTGCAAGCTTTTGACCCCCCCCAAAAAATGTCCCAGTGACTTTGCTTTCAAAACTGGCTTTTTTTTTTTTTCTTCTCTCCGTTTTCTATTCTTTTTGGCAAAAGGGCAGAGGGAGCGGCAGTCCCCAATCAGGTGAGTTGCTTTCTATATATATACATGCATGCATAGATATATATATATATAGGGGTGGGTTACATATATATATGTGTGTGTGTGTGTGTGTGTGTGTGTATATATATATATATATATACATACACACACACACATACATATATACATACATCATATATACATACATATATATACATATATATACACACATATATATATACATATACACACACACACACACACACACATGTACACACACACACACACACACACACACACATATATATATATATATATGTATATGTGTATATATATATAATTTATTTATTCATTATTTTATTTATTTTATTAAATTTCTATACCGCCCTTCTCCCGAAGGACTCAGGGCGGTGAACAGCCACAAGATAAAAACACATAAATACAAAAATTTAAAATAAATTAAAAATGAATTAAATAATTTGGCTGAATTTAAAATACCCCATAATTTTAAACAAATTAAAATTGACATTTTAAAAATGTAATATTATAAATATTATAATATATATAATATATATATATTATATTATATTATATTATATTATATTATATAATAATAATAATAATAATAATAATAATAATAATAATAATAATAATAATAATAATAATAATAATAATAATTAATTGAATTTCTATACCGTCCTTCTCCCGAAGGACTCAGGGCGGTGAACAGAATAACATTTCATATACATATAATAATTTTATTTTTTTTAAAACAGTAAATAATAAATTGAGTCAACTTGGTGTATCTACTAAGACCTTGGCATAGAATTTAGATGTTTATGCTAGCCCTGCTTGTTGAAACAGAAAGGTCTTCAGGGCACGTCGGAAAGTGCGAAGATCTGGGATTATTCGTATTCCAGGGGGTATTTTGTTCCAAAGAGTAGGTGCATATATATGTATATGCATTATTGTTTCAGCCAGGGTTTTTCCTACGTAAATCAAGATGTTTATATAGCCATAGGTCAGTGAAATCCCAATTTACTATTTTCTAGGCTTTATCAGACATTAACCAGCATTTTGCTGTCTGTTGTAAAAATTTAATTTAAAAATCAGTTTGGGCTGTCTTGAGTCTGCCAAGCCTATATAATAACCTTCTGCTGGTGTTACAACAGGAGATGCTTTGTCTCCTGTGGGTTGTTGGGTTTTTTTGGGGGGGGGATGGGGGGGTGGAGGTGAGGGGGAGAAACCAGCATAGCCCCGAAGTTGGAAAATTGGTAGGGATATTCGGGATGGGCCTCGCCTTTCTTGGATAGGAGAGCAATGGCCCTTTCTGAGCTTCTCGGCCCCGGGAGTTTTATCCAAGGGTTGATCTTCCTTCTTTCTCTGTCCTTCCTCCCTCCTTTTCCTTGCTACTATCCTCTTTCCTTCCCTTCCTCTCCTTCCTTCCTTCCTCTCTGTCTTCCTTGCTACTATCCTCTCCTAACCTTCTTTCCTTTTTTCCTTCCATCTATCCTCTCTCCCCCTTCCTCTCCTTCCTTCCTTTCCTCCTCCCTCCCTCCCTCCTTCTCTCTTCCTTCTTTCCTCCCTCCCTCCCTTTCTGTCTTCCTTGCTACTATCCTCTCCTTCCCTTCTTTCCTTCCTTCCTTCCTTCCATCCTCCCCCCTTCCTCTCCTTCCTTCCTTTCCTCCTTCCTCCCTCCCTCCTTCTCTCTTCCTTCTTTCCTCCCTCCCTCCCTTTCTGTCTTCCTTGCTACTATCCTCTCCTTCTCTTCCTTCCTTCTATCCTCTCTCCTCCCTTCCTTTCCTTCCTTCCTTTCCTCTCTCCTGCTCTGTCTTCCTTGCTACTATCCTCTCCTTCCTTCCTTCCTTCCTTCTATCCTCTCTCCCTCCCTTCCTGTCCTTCCTTCCTTTCCTCTCTCCTGCTCTGTCTTCCTTGCTACTATCCTCTCCTTCCTTCCTTCTATCCTCTCTCCCTCCCTTCCTGTCCTTCCTTCCTTTCCTCTCTCCCGCTCTGTCTTTCTTGCTACTATCCTCTCCTTCCCTTCCTTCCTTCCTTCTATCCTCCCTTCCTCCCTCTTTCCTCTCCTTCCTTCCTCTTCCCTCCCTCCCTGTCTTCCTGGCTACTACCCTCCCTTCCTTCTGTCCTCCCCCCATTTCCTTCCAAATGCATACCCTGCAGAGAGGGACTTGGCTGCAGAAAACGCAAATCGGGCGGGCAGCGTTTTCTTTTTCGCAGCTCCCTCCCTCTTTCTTTTCCCTTCCAGATGTTGGGGTGGGAGCCTCTGGGGCCGCTGGAAGAACGGGTGGCGGTATCGATTGTGCGTTGCCGGGTGGGGATATGGCGGGTGGGGGGGAGAGAGGGAGAGAGAAAATGACACGTTGGATGACTTGTTGGGGGGCGGCAATGACTGTGAATTTATGACACCTTATAAAACTGGTCCTTCCCCATCCTTTCACTGTTGGTTGCTTTGATGTCGGAAAAGGCTTTCTAAATGCAAAATATTGCTGTTTTCTCCTTCTATCCTTTTTTTCAAAGGTGACAGACGTGTAAGTTTTTTTAAAAAAAATCAGCTGCTTTAGCAGTTCCATGTTGTGAGTTTATCTACTCTGGAGTAAATCCCAGTAAGTTCAGTGGATCTTTTTTTTAAAAAAAAAAAACAGTCTTGAGCTGGTTTGCAATGGAGTGGCACTTTCTTTGCCTTTGATTTCTGCCCATCTAAATGCCCCACCAACCCCACAGCTGGGTGTCAAGGGGGCTACAATTGTAAAGGAAGAGTTAGCCCATTAAAAAGACCTCCCCTCTCTAAATAACGGTTTAAGATTTGGCTTTGTTTGCTCCGAATGTAAGATCGACTTGGAAAAAGGTGCCTTTACTCTTAACAGTGACAGAGTTGGAAGGGATCTTGGAGGTCATCTAATCCAACCCCCTTTCACGCAGGAGACCTGGACTAGGGATTCGAACCGCCGAACTGCCGACCTTTCTGATCGACAAGCTCAGGGTCTTAGCCACTGAAAAGGTTGCAATCGAACGGAAGAAAATGCAGGGGATTAAATTAACAGATTTCAAGGTTCCGAGGGAGCCGCTTTTGCAGATGTTTGAAGAAATGCTTAGAAAGCTTTTTTTTTTTCTTCCTTTCGTTTTTTTTGCAAATATTCTTCTTCGACCTTCCAACTTTGGTTTGGTTTCCAATGGATCCCAGTCGAAGTAATAAATGACGGAGATTTTGCTGGTAACGGTGGGTGGGTGGGTCCCTTATTTTTTTGGGCAAAAAGGACATGCAATGCAGTTCGTTGGAATTGGCCCCCATCTTAAAAACGGTGACTTTGAAAGACCGACACAGGCTTTGCTGAGGGGAGAAGAGCAAACATTAAAATTAATCTTGGCTTCTTAAAAAACGGGCCTGGGGAAGTTCTCAGTGAGATCTTTTCAAGTCTGTTCGAAAGAGTTTTTTTCTTTTTTCTTTTCTGGCAGCTGTGACCACCGCTCTTTGTTTAGTTGCAAGGAATTGCTTTGAGTTCGCCACAACTTCTAAATATTGCAGCGTTTCCACAGTGAAGGGCCTTGATTGCAATTTTGTGGTGCTCGGCAATCCTGACATCACAAAGCATAAATACCTTGTCCTTTAGGGCAGGGCTGGGTTTTAGGAAGGGATGTTCAAGGTTTTCTAGATTATAAAATGGGTTTGTTTAGACCAGGGGGTCTCCAACCTTGGCAACTTTAAGACTTGTGGATTTCAACTCCCAGAATTCCTCAGCCAGCTTTGCTTAAGTCTTAAAAGTTGCCAACGTTGGAGACCCCCTGGTTTAGACTGGTGTTTTTTTCAACCTCGACAACTTTAGGATGTATTTGTATTTATTTGCATTTATTAGTTTCTCAAACATGTACAAGATAGCAGGTATAAATATAAACATGGATATGAACGAAAGAAATGAATATAAATAAATGGGGACAGTAGGGCAGGGACTATCCTATATCCCTGTCCTACTGTCCCCATTTATTTATATATATATATAAATATATATGTAGGTCTTTGGTTATTCGGGTTTTCTGCCGCGTAAAATTGGAGGTTTCTTGGCAATGTTTCGACGAAGTCTCATTCGTCATCTTCAGGCTGGTGTTTTCGGCTTCGTGCTTCTAGGAGCAATGTGATTATATATATACATATCCAGAAATACTGTAAGAACTTAGTTTTAACAGTTGTTTGTCGTGCACCACTGAATCAAAGGCTTTGCAGAAGTCTATGTATGGACTGCAGTTACATGGCTGAGGGATGCTGGGAGTTGAAGTCCATCTCAAAAGTTGCCGACTTCTCAAACTCAAAAAGTTGAGAAACGTTGGTTTTTTAGATAGTAGAATATTCTCTCCCTTCTCTCCCCCACCCCCTCCCCCCGTTTTCCCCGTTTTCTTCTGAGGAATAAGATGGCAGTTGAAATCATACAAGAGAGAAATGATGGGTATTTTAGCAGAAAAAATATGATAAAGGGAATACTTATTTAATTTTACATGTGTTAACAGCAGGGTGGATAAAAATCAATGATTTTTTTTAAAAAATAAAAAAAATCAGATTTTTTTGATTTAAATCGGATTTTTTTGATTTTTATCGAATTTATTTTAATAAAAAACTTTTGGGGTAAAAATCTATCGTAAGATAATTTTCTATTTAAGATACATAAATAATTTAGTTTATTCAGCATGAAATGGAGCTTAGTTATGTAGCACGAGGCTGTATATTCTGCAACACTGGGACTATCGGTGAGTCAACAGTGGGTCAAAGGAGTAGCAGAGATGACAGTTGCTCTTTAAAAATTACGATTTAAATCGAGTTGATTTAAATCGAGCGTTTTTACTAGTGATTTAAATCATGATTTAAATTGTGATTTAAATCAACTCGATTCAAATCAAATCCACCCTGGTTAACAGCAGCGAGAATTGGACAAAAATGAAGAGATCTCTACAGATGAAAGTGTAATAAAAAAATATTAGAATGTGCAGAGACGGATAGATTAACACTCAGAAGAAAGGAGAAGAAAGGAACAGAATAT